CTGTACCGGGACTGCCAGTCATGTCCGTCACCGTGGTGAAAGCCTATGTCTTGGCCTCTTTCTTGTTCTCTAGGCAAAGCCCTCAGTGCCTGGCCCTCATGCAGGAGCTCTGGGGGCACAGGGACGCGATAGCCGCTGCCAGTGGAAGGGTTGGCAGGTCAACCCACCCGCTGATCTGTGAGGAAGACACTGCAGTTGGCGTCCATGAAGCTTTACAGCCTTGAGACCCCTACAGGGCAGCCTACCCTGTCCTGTGAGGCTGCCTACGGCAGGTTCGCACCACTCGCACCTCAGTGGCAATGGGCTTGTTCTGTTTCTACAGCCAGCTGTGTGTGTCTCACAACTTATTTCTTAGATCAACTCGCGACTGTCTCCATGTCCTAGTCCTAGTTTGCTAAGAATTCTATTTCTTAAATCATGGATTATTACTGAATTTTGTCAAAAGCTTTTTCTTGGGATTCCCTGCCCCCCGCCCCCCCTTCGTCTATTGGTACGGCAAATGACACAGTTTCCAAATGTCGGACGGACCTTGTTCCTGGGATAAACTTCACTTGTCCAAAATGCGGTATCCTTTCCTGTATTTCTGAATTTGAGTGGTTGGCATTGTATTCAAGGTGGTTGCATCTCTGTTTATGAAGGGGATTAATCGGCTGTGCACGTCATTTCATTTTCTCACGCTGCCTTTGTCTGCTTTGGTGTCAGGGTCAAGCTGACCTCCAAGCATGCTCTCAGCAGGTGGCCCTCCAGGCCAGGCCCAGGAGGACAGAAACAAACAAGCCTCAGCCCCACTGTGGGCAAGCGCATGAAGTCTCCCAGAGACCCGACAGCATTTTGAGAGACTGTCAGAGCAGCCGGGGAAGAGAGGGGAGGAGCGTGAGGCCGAGGGAAGCAGAGAAACAGCGGCTCGAATAGAGGGACCACGTCAGGGACAAGCGAAGGAGAAAGCTGGCTACCCAGGAAGCGCTCCCGGCCAGCCTGTGCACTGTTTGGGGCCAGGGCACCTGATCTGGAACGTGTGCCTCCTGAGGTGAAGGGGCTTTTTCGGGCCCAGAGGGCAGCCGGGGCAGGTGGCTGGTACGAAAGGAGCGCCTGCCAGTTCAGGGTGGCCACGGCCGCCGCGCTGTGCGCTGTGTTCTGTTGGTCTGATGAGGGGGTTCGTGCACCTTCAGACACGGGGTGTCACCAGGAGGGTGTGGGGGACAGGGACGGCCCCAGTTTGGGAATGCTGCTCTCCAACGTTCTTCAGTTGACCCCCTGTGCTCCTCTCTGAGATCCAGGGGTCTGGATTTTCACCCGCCCCCACCCCGTTACATCTGGGTGCTCCCATCTTCGGGGGAGAGGGTTTGTGTGCCCCCTTGGCGTCCGCCTTCAGCCCCAAGCCCTTTCATCCGGGTGCCAAGCCCACAGCCGGGCAATGCCTGTGGGGAGCAGGACTGGGTGGGAGGGTGCTCCCGCTGGAGGCTCTTGGTGGGAGCCCCAGGTCTGCTCTCTGAGCCACCCCTCCCTTCCCAGCGGACCCCGCAGGTGAGCATGTCCGGTGCCCATGACTGCGTGGGTGTCAGTGTGTCTTGGTGCACGCACAGATGTGCTCTCACGTGTGTGTGCTTTTGCTTATGATTTTAAAAAATCGTTTTATTGGGGGCTCTCACAAATATTATAATGAGCCAAAAATCAGTTATCTCAAGCGAACTTGTCCAGACGTTGCCATCATCATTTTCCAAATATTGACTTTCTACTTGAGCCCTTGGTATCAGCTCCTCGGCCCCGCCCCGCCCCAGTGAGCCCTTAATCAATCATATTTTATCATGTTTTCATATCTGACACCGCCTGCTGTCTCCCTTCGCCCACAGTCACGTGTGCTTCTTAAGCAGCTTCTTATTGTAAATTAGGTGGGTGTTTACATTTCCGATCATCAGCTTTGTCACGTGTGTTTCTGTGTGAACCTAAGGCCCAGGTGCCACCCCCTTCAAATGAGACCAGTGTGGCTTGTGTCAAGCCGTGAAGCTGCTGCAGGGCCCTGGGCACCTGACACGTGAGGACGTGGGCAGCTCCCGTCCAGCCCCAGAGCTTGGGGTGGGCAGCCAGGAAGGGTGCCTGCTGTGCCAACACCCCGTGTCCCCGATGTTCTCCAGCAGACGGGCACTGTCTGCCTGGGGGCGGTGGGGCGTGGGGTGAGACAGCCTTGCCCTGTGTCGAGTCCCTCCGTCCTCCCTCCAGGCAGCCTCACCGCAGACACTCAGGAGTGATCCAGAAACGTCCGGGCTCGGGGGCCTGGGAGGTGCTGTGTGAAGCCCGTGACCCCACCTGCCTTCTCCGCCCTCAGGCTGGTTCTGTCCCCTGCTGCCCTGGGCTCTGCCCACCCCGCTGTCCAGCTGATCCTGCCCCAGCCCCCTCCTCTGAGTCGCCTCCTTTGGGCATGTCCTCAGCCTCGCTGGGCCCTCTGAGCCCAATGGCCAAAGCCCTGCCCCTTGGCTCTCCGGGCCCCACCTGACTCCCACCCCACCCCCTGGCAAAGGGCAGGTGGGTCCATCTCAGGAAGGTCAACCAAGCATCTGAGTGACCTGAACTTGCCCATGACCCTCAGCTGATGGGAAGTCTGATTCCCGTCTGGTGCTGGACCCATAGGTCTTTACATGAAAGGCCAGGGGTCCACCCCACTCTACAGATGGGCCTGTCCAGGCCCTGTCCCCTACCCGTCTCCTGGAGGCCCCGCTCAGCTCTGGTCCTTGCCTTGGAAAGTGGAGAGCCTCACCACAGCTGGTGACCACAGTCCGGGGCTGTGGCCACTCTCTGACTGACCCCACCTCCCGGGAGGTGCCTCCTGACTCTGTCCCCAGCCACCTCTCAGTTTCTGAACTTAGCAGGGCCATCGCAAAGAAAAACTCTGGGTTCCAAAGTGGGGCCTAGTCCCAGGGGCACGGTGAGCTTGGGGGAGACGCACCCCCACCCATCACAGGTGGGACTGGTGGCCCCCTCCAAGTGGGGCAGGGTCTGTGGGCAGTGGGGACC